TTCATCAGCATACAATTTTTTTCATTATCTTATATACAAATTTTTGGTTTAAATTATATGTGGTCTGATATTTATATAGCTACACAGCCTCTTTTGGTTGCTATTTGCATAGCATATCTTTTTTCATCCTTTTATTCTTATTTGTCTTTGGATTTATTTGTTTTTGTTTTTCTTCCAGTACCAGGAATTGAACTCATGAGCTTGCGCTTGCCAGGCAGGCGCTTTGCTGCTGAGCTAAATCCTCAGCCCATGTCTTTGGATTTAAAATGAGTCTCTTGCCAGGCATGGTGGTGCACACCTGTAATCCCAGCCCTCGAAGGCTGAGGCAGGATGATCATTGAGAGTTCGAGACCAGCCTGGGCTACAAAGTGAGCTCAAGGCCAGCGTGAACTGTACAGCAAGGCCCTGTCTCAAAAAAGACAGAAAAAAAAAAAAAAAAAAAGTAAATCTCTTGTAGATAGCACATAGACAGAGTATGGGCTTTTAATAAATTAATTCTCTCAAAGCATGCTTTTTAATTGGGGAGTTTAATTACTGATAAGCAAGAACTGCCATTTTGCTATTGTTTTTATGTTGGTCTATATTCCATTTCTGTCCAGGATGAACAGGTCCCAAGAATGAAGTACCCACAGATGAATAGAAAAGTAAGAGGAAATAAAAAACGAGAGAGGCAAAATTCTGGAATCAGGGGGTTAGCAGCCTCTAGGACAGAAGCCTCGATTGCCAATCTCAGTAACTTTCTATTGAGAAAGAACAAAGGAAGCAGCTGGGCAAATGTGAGGATACCAACCTCAATTATCATAGGAATGAGACTTGACTTAGTAAGCCATCATGTTATCATTCCTTCCAGCGGCGTATCTCAGCAAAGCATCTAGTGGGTTTTTTTTTTTTTTTTTTTTTTTTTTTGAGACGGGGTTTCTATGCAGTTCGGGGTGGCCTTCAGCTCACTTTGTAGCCCAGGCTGGCCTCGAACTAGCAATGATCCTCCTGCCTCAGCCTCCCAAGTGCCGGGATTACAGACATGTGCCACCACACCCAGCAAAGCATCTAGTGTTGACCCTGGAGCTTTCCACAAGGACGCAGGTACTGCAAACTTTTTCTTACTACCAATGCTTTTGCTAGACTTCCTCTTGAACCCAACAATCATGGCTATGTCAGGTCTGAGGCAATACACTGAGAGAGTAACTAAAGAATGTCCTTCTCCACATTTTATATGGCTTATATCTCTTTTATTCATTAATTGCCTTCTTTTGTTTGACTTTTTGCAATGCGCTGTATTGATTTTCTTCTCATTACCTTTTCCAGATTTTTTTTTCTTTTTTTTGAGATAGAATCTCACTATATAGTGCAGGCTGGCCTTGAACTTGCTTATATAACTCAAGCTGCCCTCAAACTTGAAATTTGGATGGAGCTCCTTGTGATCTTCCTGCTTCAGCCTCTTGAATGCTGGGATTACAGGCATGTGCCACCACACCTGACTACTTTTTCTGTTTGTTTGTTTGTTTGTTAGTTTGAGACAGGGTCTTGCTATGCAGTTCAGGCTAGCATTGAGCTTACTTTATAGGCTGGTCTCAAACTCAAAACAATCCTCCTGCCTCAGCCTCCTGAGTGCTGAAATTATAGGCATGCGCCACCATGCCTGGCTCTGTATTTTTAAAAGTTATTTTCTTAATGGTTTTCTTGGAGAATAAAATTAACATTTTAAACATAATAAACTAGTTTAAATTAATACCAAGTTAGTTTCATTTATGAAAATTTCACTGCTATAGATTTCCATCCTTTCTCCTCATGCTACTATTGCTGCAAATCAAAACTTTATATGTTGTATGTCCATTACCATAGGTTTATAACTATTTTTATGCATTTGTCTTTTAACTCATATAGGTAACAAAAAGAAATTACAAACCAAAAATTCAATAATATTGGCTTTTATACTTACATATGCAATTACCTGTACTAGTGTTCCTTATTTTATGTTATTGTCTAATGACTTCTCATTATAGGTTTAACTCCCTTTACCTTTCATGGTAAGGCAAGTCTAATAGTAATGAATAACCTCAACTTTTCTTTACCTGGGAATATCTTAGTTTCTCCTTTTTTGAAGGATAGTTTACCAGATGTAAAATTCTCAACTAATAGTTTCTTTTTTTTTATGCAGCACTTTAGATTTGTCGTCTCCTTGCCATTGGCCTCCATAGTTGCTGGTGATAAATCAGTTTTTTTATTAAAGACATTTTGCACATAAAAAGTTGCTTCTCTCTGTTTTCAAGATTCTTTGTTTTTTGGCAGTCTGATTACAGTGTGTTTTGGTGGGGATTGCTTTAGGTTTACTTAAAAGTTAATTAGCCTCTAGTGTGTAAACATTCATGATTTTTAAAAATTTAAGGATTTTACTTTATAAAGAATAGGGGGTAAGTTTAGCTCATGGTGTGGGGCAGGGAAGCTCAGGAACAAGCAGCAACATCTGCTGGCTTCTGGAAAGGGCCTCACACTGCTCAGTCTGTGAGGAAGTGGAAGGGAAGCAGGTGTAGGTGAAAGGAGCGTGTGTCCAAACAAACTTGGGAGGGTTTTTGACCATTATTTCTTTAAATACTCTTTCTGTTCCTTTGTTGCATTTCCCTCTGGTGTCTGAAGTATACATAAGTTAGCACACTTGATGTTGTCCCACAGGCCTCTCGGGATCTGCTAATTTTACTTTCTCTGTTAACAGTCTATTCTTTGAGAGATCATGACTTGATTTATTTCAGTTGTCTGAGATAGTTGAATTAAAGCCTTTGTCCAGTAAATTCAGTGTTCGACATTCATGCATCCTCAGGGACAGTTTATGTGCATTGCTTTTTTCCCATGAGCCACACTTTCCTATTCTTTGGCGTGTGTCAGTTTTTTGTTGAAGGCAGACTATTTTTCATACTTTTTGTAAGATCGTATTTGTCATATTGATTTCTGAAGTGTCTCTTCCTTTAGTTATTTCTCTGACACTTAGGACACTCTAACATGGTCACTGTAGGAATCAGATTCTACCTGTGCTCTAGGACTCATTATTACTCACTGTGGGCTGTGGCGGCCATTTTGCTCAGCCTTTTTTCCAAGCAACTTTTGAAAAGTTATGCTCCATGCAGGCCCTGCAGCCTCCACTTTACCTCACCGGCTAGCCAGTGACTTAACATGGAAGTCTTCAAATGCATGGTGCCAAAAATTGTAAAATTATTTATTTATGTATTTATCTATTTATTTGTCTTTTTTGAGACAGGGTCTCGCTATGCAGTTCAGGCTGGCCTTGAGCTCACTTTGTAGCCCAGGCTGGTTTCTAACTCACAACGATCATCCTGCCTCAGCCTCCTGAGTTCTGGGATTACAGGTGTGTGCCACCACACCCTGCTGTAAAAATTTTTAAAAAGAGGAAAACTAAAGAAAACAAAAAAATTAGAGGTAAGAAGAAAACAAAAGAGAAGTAAAAAAGATTGAAGGAAGAATAAAAAGACAAAGAAAAATTCTTGAGTTCTCTGCAAAACAGCTTTGTGTGTTGGTCCCTCCTGTTATGCTTAGGCCATTTACAGCTCTGCCTGATCCTACATTCCTGCTTGTGCTTAGCCTATGGCTCAGTCAGATGTGAAAGCTTAGTATTCTTGGGTCTCTTCTGTGTATAAGTCCTGTCATGACTGTATTTTCTAGATTCCCCAGTATATACAACTTTTCAAACCCCCAAATCTCATTCCCTAACTTTCCCACCTATTCTTTCTGTGGGTCTATAATTTGCTTCAATTGTGATTTTTATTCCAAGAGGCTGTGGCCTGTTATTTTGCCTTTCAGTGTTTTCAGAGAACATCCTATGTGTAACCACTCTGCTCAGAGAGTTTGGAGATATGTGACACAAAAAGAAGCTCCTTTCAAGCTGATGTGATGGTGCATACGTAATCCTAGCACTCTAAAGGCTGAGTCAGGAGCACTGTGAGTTTGAGCTCAGCCTGAGCTACTTAGTGAGATCCTGTCTCAAAATAAAAAATTAAAAAGGGCTAGGGATGTAGCTTTGTGTGAAGGCCCCATATTCAATTCCTAGTACCAAAAACAAACAAACAAAAGAAACCTCTCAGTGCTGGGGATGTATATGGAGCTAGAGTGAGTCTTAAAAACTGCAAAGAACTCTCACTGTGTTTGTCTCCTGGTGGAGCATTTATTTGGGTGCCCTAGACCTCTGACTTTCCCAGAGTTCTAGTCAGGTTGATTCTGATCACTTGCCAGGTGTTTCTGGGAACAGATGGATCCCTAGAGTTTCCTACTGTACTATTTTCACCAATGCCACCTTCTTTTACTGATCTTTTTTTGTTGTTCTTTTTTGAACTCGCTTATTGTAGCTCAGGCTGGCCTTGATTTTTTTTTTCTTTGGTGCTGGGAATCGAACTCAGGACTCTGCCCTTGTCAGGCAGGCACTTGTGCCACTGAGCTAGATCCCCAGCCCAATAAATTTGTATTGTTTTAAGTAGTTAACCTTGTAGTAATTTGTTTGTTTTTGGTACTGGGAATTGAACTCAGGACCTTGCGCTTACCGGGAATCAAACTTAGGACCTTGTGCTTGCCAGGCAGGTGCTTATACCGCTGAGCTATTTCCCCGGCCCCTGAGCTATATCTCCGGCCCCTTAGCCTTGAATTCATGGTGATCCTCCTGTCTCAGCCTCTCAAGTCCTAGGATTACAGGTGTGCAGCAGCATGCCTGGTCCTTTACCCATCTTGACATTGGATTATTTGTCTTTTTGTTAATGTGCTGTAAGAGATCTTTATGTATTATGATACAAGTCCCTTTCAGATATATAATTTTGTACCCATGATAATGTATTGCTTCTCTAAATTTTAAATAAAAATAACAAAATAAACATCTATGCAAAGTTGCAAATCTGTCTGGTGCACAGAAGTTGTTGGAAATAGTCTTCCCATCACAGTGTGATTCGGCCAAGTTGCTTTCCTGTCCATCACTGGATGTCTTTCTTTTTCCCTTCCTTTGGCAGAGACTGCCCCCTACTGCGGGTACTGGCTGGTGAGGTTGTTGGTGCGGAGATGGAGGGCTCTCTGCCTTGGATTATCTCACGGCTCCTAGAAGGAAACAACTATGCTGGCCTCCTCCTTCGCCTGTATCCCCAAGGTGGCTGGGGGGTGGTGGGGTCCTTTGGGAAGCACTAGGACAGTGATGGTGAACCTATGGCACATGTGCCACAGTGGGCTGTTTTTACCATTGAAAGGTTCGCCATCACTACTCTCTAGGATGAGGCCTTAGAACTGCCTCATCCTATCACCCAACCAGCCCCTGCCCAATCCCAGCCCAGAGAGAGAGCATGACCCCCTGAGAGGGCCGGAATTCAGAAAGGTCCCATTAGTTAGGTGTAGTGGGACACATTTGTAAACTCAGCACTCAGGAGGCTGAGGCAGGCCTGCTAAGAGTTCAAGGCCAGCCTGAGCTACATAGTAAGTTTAAAGCCAGCTTGAACTACATAGCAAGACACTGTCTCAAAAAACCAAAAAAAAAAAAAAAGCAAAACAAAAAGACTCACCTATTTTTACATTCCATTAAAAGCCTGTACTCTGAAACAATATTACTTCAGAAGTTTGGAGAGGAGATCAAAGTTGAACCTGAGTGATACTGTATAGATAGATGTATTTCTTGTACTTTTAATGCCTTTTAACTTGTCATAATAAGAGTTAAAAAATCTGGCCTCTGATGCCAACATCAACAAACACACCTTCCTTTGGCCAGTGAGTTCCCAGACTGCACCCTATGCCAGGCTGTACGGAACAAGAAGGCAAGGTGGAGCACTTCACACTCTTCTGGATAAAGCAGTGAGGGGCAGACATGTGTTCACCCATAGGCCAGTTTGGCATCATGAGTAAGGTCACAGGCTTTAGTGTCAGACAGAACTGGACTTGAGGGTAAACTCTGCTCCTCACCGAGAAGTTGCTTGAACTCTCCACACTTTAGTTGTCTCATCTGGAAAACGTGAGGGAGGTAGGATCGATCCGAGTTGCTGTGAATAAGAGGTGATCCAAAAAAAAAAAAAGAAGAGGTGATTCATGAACAGCCTTAGCACAGAGCCATTAAGCACACATGAAAGTCTAATAAAAGTTATTTTGATGAATGATAGGTTAATAGAATTTTAAAGTATTACAAGCAGTGTGCCCTGGAGTTCAGAGCAAGAAGAAATCCACTATGAGTCTCCCCTTACAGGTAGCTCCCTGAGTTTGCTTCAAGGTGCTCTGCTGGGGGCCTCACGAAGACGGATGCAAGTGAAACAGGTGAGGCCCATCCTGTGGGATGCAGTAGAAGAGGCCCAAGCCCGCCGAGCTGGTCTGAAGACCCTGCGTTCAGGACTCCTTGGGAAGACCTTGACAGATGAAAGGCTTAGCCAGCTGGGCAGGGCACTCCGTGAGCTACAGGTGAGCAAGGTGAGGCCTTGGGACTGCTGGACCAGCAATGACCAATGCCCATTCTGAACTTTTTTCTATAGGTGGTAAAAGCCTGGAGCCAGTATCCAAGAAGCCCAGTACCCAAAGGGGCCAGAGCTGAGGTGGAGAAGCTCCCAGAGCCACAGGTATGTCTTCTCATCCAACCTCTTAGGAGCTCTATTTATGTCAGCCTTTTCCTGTTTACTGAGCATTCCATTTGTTCTTTGATTTATTGATTCTGGAACATTTACAGACCATTTATTATGTGCTGGGCATAGCGCCATGTTGGTCTTAAGCATTTCCTGTCCTTGTGTCATTTATAACCTTCTGGGAAGAAACAATTACAATATTATGATCAGTGCTCTGAAAGGCTTATAAACACTTGCTTCTATTGGGCATCTAAATTAGCCAAGGCAAGAGGGCAAGGAAGACTTCATGGAGGAAGTGATTCTTTATGGGTTAGCTAAGATGAGTGAAAATGTTCTAGGAAGAAAGAATAACAGGTGAAAGACTCAGAGGTGAATGAATACTTGATGTCTCTGGGAGCCTGAAAGTAGCTCAATTTGCTGGACAGTAGAGTTTGCAGAGATACTCAGGAGATAAGGACTGGAAAGGGAAGCAGGGACCAGCTCACACAGGGCTTTATAAATCTATTGAGATGTTGACTCTGTCTTCAAGGTCCAAGGCAAGCCACCAAAGTACTGTAAGCAGAGGAGACAACACTGCTCCCACTTGTCAGGTGAGAAAACTGAGGCTCAGAGATGTGAACAGCCCAGAGTTACCAACAAAATCAGAGGCGGCAGAGGTGCAATAACACTCAAACCCTTAGACTCCTAATCCAGCACTTTTATCCTCTTGGGCATAGCCTTTCTACAGAAGGGGATGCTGTCTCCATGATTTGCTGTAGGGTGGTTAAAACCCTGTCTGCCTTGGTCCTTCTCTTTCCTTTTCATAATTTATACTGTGTTTACAGCCCTGGGATTGGAGAATTAGGCATTACTCCCAGTTACTGGGCAAGTACTTTAGGCCATTACCTCATTTCATGCTCTCCACAACTTTTTTTTTTTTTTTTTTTTTGGTACCAGGAATTGTACTCATGACCCTGCACTTGCCAGGCAGGCGCTGTGCCACTGAGCTATATCCCCAGCCCC